TATCACTTCACAGTTTATTGCACCTTCAATTTTTTTCAAAGTTCTATTTCTTTAAAGACAAACCAGAAGCCAACCTCCACCCCCTCTCTAAAATTGCTAAAATACTGTCAATATAGCTGTGTCACTTGAGACAAAAACGTGTAAATGCAGTGGCAGAGAGCAAAGATCCCAGTGATGATGAAGGGCCATGGCTGGTGCGTGCACTCTGACCCCCCAGCCCCTTGGTGCAGGGTCACAGTGCGGGTGACTGGGGGCTGCCTGGCAGTGGGGACTGGGAGCCAGCCCTAAGGACATGTTAAATGCCACTCAGATCTGATATGGTCGGTGCCCAGGACATGAAAGGGAGCAGCAGCCTCCAAGTGATAAAGGGCTTAATTCTTCATGATTACTTGCTTGTGATTGTGAGAGTAGAAAGGTATGAAACATCAGCCACATTCTTCCATTCAGCAGAGTAATAGCAAGAAAAGGAAGTGAGCAGCACTAAAAGATCTAATCTACCATTAAATTATATCATATACAAGCATCTCTTCCTTACTGGCCCAAGGTCATGCCTGACCTTCTGCCTGCACTGCCCTGCCCATAGTGGCTGGCAAGCAATTGTCCACTGCTGCAAAACCAGATTAGATTATGTAGTCCCCTTCCTTCCCACCCAGGGCTCTTTTCAGAAGAAATTATTAAATAACCTTTGTGACAGGCAGATATATAAACGTGTTAATCTAAGTAGGTCATGAAATAGCTGCAGCAATGCAAAGGAGCTGTGTGACCCACATGGGGTGTGTGTGATGGTGTCCTACCCTTCTGAAATGTGGCATCTTTGTGGTGGAGACATGTGTCTTTCTGCTGAGGCACTGAGAAAATCTGGTCCTTTGGTCCCTGGTTGGTGCAATGTGACTTTTGGTGGAAACATGATGTTTCTGGAGCCCATTTTTATACAGCAACATAGGGCAACGGTTAAACAAGTGGCTGCGGCATCCACCAAGGGCAAGAGACCTACAGACTTGCCATTGCAATTTTGAGGCTGATAAAAGGCATGCTTTGAATATTTGTGCCAAATTTTTACCGAACCAAAGACGGGAGCCTGGCTTGAAAGCCATGGGCCAGAAAGGCAGAAGTATGAAATGTTTATCTTCGTAGAAAAACGTCAGCAGGCAGAAGTTAAATGGAGTTCTGCATTTAATAAAGCTGCCGGCAGACTGCTGCTGGAGTTTCTGATGGAGAGGGTTGCAGATGCTGCAACCTTTTAGCATCTTGTAAGGACAAGGAGTGCATGGGGTCAGACTCTGTCCCCAGCTGGTGCATGCTGTGCCCACATGGGACAGCTCATTGGAGTGATTCAGTGATGTTTCTGAGCCTTCATTCAGAAACTGAGAGACATAGCAGCACTTCTATCTCAAGCTAATGATAATGAGCCACCCTGATTTTCACTTCCCCAGAAGTACCTTCTTTTTCTGTCTTTTTGACGAGAGCATCTTTGAAGTATGTCACAGTTTTTTGGTGACAGCTCTGACACTTTCCCCACACACTTGACATTTATCTGAACTCTCATTTTTTGGTCAGCTGCCCTGGTTCAGTACTTGGCAGCAGGGTTCAGTTAAAATGTGATAGCAGCAGCAAATGGAAAGCCCCAAGCAAGAAAACTGATGTGAGACTTTACCAGACCTCTGTGAACAACAGCATGGAAATTAGAGGGAGGTTTGGATGTGTTCTTACACTCTGTGTGTGTGTCCTGCCTGTGCAGCCACCTCCAGTGCACTGCAGCAGCTCCACTCGTGCTTTTAAGTGATCTGTTTTTTGTAATAAGTCCATTTAGTGCTTGTGAAGGCTATCAAACTGGCTGCGTCCAGCTCTGTCATCAGTTCATAGAATTAGAATTAATATAATGGAGGAGATGGCAGTGCAAGATGTTCATGCCTACCTGTGTCCTGCAGCTGCTGGGAGGGTAGTGTGGCCTGATGAGGGCAGGATGCAGTTGTGCGTGGTGGAAAATACCTTCCTCAGCCAGCCTGCGAGGTGTAGGTGCCAGCCTTCCTCACAGCCGTACCCTCATCCCTTGGAAAGTACGAGGTTGATGTTGTCCAGACTTGGCTCCAGAGAGCACAGAGCTCCTCCTGTGCTAAGAAGTTTAAGTTGCACATACTCAAAAGCTTGGTGGATGTAATGAAATGGCTAGGTTTTTGCAGCAAGACCAAAGCAAGCCAGGCAAAGGCCAGCTTCACCTGGATAGTTACGGTCCATCTGTGTGTGGGGTGGGGGCTGTCTGCCTTCCAGAAGGTGGTGGAAGAATCGGTATCTTGTTGACAAATGCTCCCTCCCTCAGGCCCCCCTTCTCTCCAGAGGTTGTTGATCTCGCCAGAAATGTCTGCTGCTGTAGATGGCTGCTGCCTCCTCACTGCTTAATTCATCCCTTAGCTCTTCTATGTACAGTGTGGGAGAGCTTGGCCAGATCAGTTATGAATTTAGAGGACAATCCTACTAAATCAGCCCAAAAGGTCCAGGTGGAAAAAGAAAAAAATGTGAGTAAACAGAACAGCACAATCCAGTTTTCTAACTGGGGAGCCTGAGGGGGTTTCTTGGTCCTTGTGCCACATATTTCACCCCCAGCATCTGAATCCCTGAGTGCCCTGTACTTGGATAGGCCCTGCTCAAATGATGAACAGAGATTTTGATCCTATGTCAAGGGAATAGTTTATCACACCTCTTTTCTGAGAGCAACACATGCTTTCCTGCCTCTTTGCCCTCACTAACCAGGTGCTCCAGGGCAGTCATTAGGAACAGCCATGGTCCTGCTCAGAGCTGCTGCGGAGCAGCACTGCCACTAGCTGTGGCAGTGAGGACCCTGCTCTCCCTGCCCAGCACTGTCCTGCACTGGTACAACCCAACCGTCACCTCCACAGTCCCTCCAAGGCTCCCTCCCTCTCCAAACCTCAGTGAGCACCTGAGGACTCACCGCTGCACAGAGGCTTTGGTGTGAGGTTTCTGTGGCGAGGAATTTTGGCTACCTTTGGCCAATGCTTGTTCATGGTATCTATTTTTGGGTGAATGGCTGCTGGAGGAAGGGGCGTTACTCGGAGGAAGGCAGCTTTGCAGAATCTGCTCGGAAATGCTTTGTTTGTAGGCAGCTTTGTATCTCCTCCACCCATTTAATTAGTGGTTAGGAGAAGTATTTTTTTTCCTGTACATCTAAAATAGCAGTTTGGTTTTTGCAGAGCTTTCACCTCTGAAGAGCTCGCACCTGTGTTGGTGAGACTGGAGATGTAGAAAAAACATACTGGCAACCAGGTAATCTCTCAAATAACTGTGCTCTCAGCAGACAAATCCCATACCAGAGAAGAAATCTTAAAGGTATGTTTAGCCCTATTTGGGAGCAGTCCAACAAATTAGTCAGAAAGGTGCATATGTTACTACAGCGATGCAAGAGACCTGTCAGCACACAGGGCCGGGGAATGCAAAGTTTGAGCCCCGCTGCACCAGGCTGAGCAGTGTGAAATCGTTGCCAGGGCTGTGCTGCACCTTGAGTGAGCTGGGAGGAGATGCTCATCTCTGCATGCACAGCACCGTTTGTTGCCGCTTTGATATTTTCAAAGAAAATATAGGGGAAGAAGAGGGGAGAAGCCAGCCTCCTTAAAAATCTTTGCAACTAGAGCCTCTCCTACTCCCCCTTCCCATTGTGCAGTGAACAAAGGCCAGATCCTGCTCTCAGATTTTGGTGATGACAGAGCAGACTTCCCCCTTTCTGCCTGAATTTCTGGCAAACATGGTGAGAACCCTACATCCTGGTGAGAAGCCTACATTCCCTTGAGAAGCTGTCAGGGCTTTATTACTGTCCTGTGCAGGTTGTGTGGACTTTGCTGTGTGGGTGGATGGCGGGCTCTGCTCAATGGTTGCCTGCAGCAAGGTCTCTCTTTAAGGAGTTTCTTCCTTTTGGCATGTGCCTTGAGGAGGAGGCGATGCAAAGGAAGTGGGGCTGTAAGGCCGCCAAGGTGGCAGCAGGGTTTGGCCCAGCATGTGCAGGCACATGAAAGCCCAGCCTGGGGTGGGGAAATGTGGGTAGAGGTATGTGCCTTGTAGGTCCCATCCTGGAACATATGGGTGCTGCCTGAGCATTGTAACAAAGGGGTTAGTCAACAGTTTTACCTACTTAGCTGTTTGTGGGTAAATGCATTGTAGGGTGGCACGCACGGTTCTGACTTTGAAAATCCCATTCTCCATTGCAGCTCCTACACCCTGCCCCTCACTTGGACAGCCAGGGGGATGAGTTGTCCCTTTTGGGGGCCAGACAGCAGAGCAGATCCTGTGCCACCCAGTACCCCACCTTTTCCATTTAACTAATTTAAGAGGCTACACTCTATGCTAGTAACATGACTTTATTTATATTGGATAATTTGGAACAACTTGCTGCCACTTTCTTTAAACAGTCCTTTATATTATAAGGTTGAATTGATCCCTAGTACAGAGTTCTTATTCCCACCACCCCACCCCAACTCTTTGGATAGTAGCTTTAATGCCATTTGACTCAAATGCTTTTGGTGTAAAATTTTTCCCCAGTACAAGCGATTGCAGTTTCTTGACCTTGTATTGCAGTTGATGACAGTTTCCCAGCTGTTACGCAGTATGAATGGTGCTGTAAACTTGACTAAAGCAGGCTAAATCTGCCTTTGCTACTGTGATTGTGCGTTATTACCAACTAAACATTTGTGATGTAAAAAACATCCTTCTTTCTTTTTCTGCAGTGGCTTAATTTAGATATTTTTGTTGTTGTTTTTTGATATTTGGAATAACCTCTGTTTCTTTGTCACAGGTACAGCTACATAAAAACTGATCAAGGTGGAGAAGAGGGACAAAAATCCCCTTTACCACTGACTGTACTTGATTTGGGTTTTCTGGGAAAATGAAAGACAGGGTTTTTTTCTGGGGAAACCTATCATTTTACTCAAATTTGCATAAGGCAGAGAATTATCAGTGGCAACCTAGATCATTCTATCAGGATCTGGGCTGCTGTGGTTGTCTGCATCAGGGCTAATTTTCATGTGTCTGAATCCTTCCCATTAGCAGAAAGTCCCTCCATCCCACTCACACAAAAAGAAAGTGTGAAAGCCTGCTATTGAGTCTTGGTTGAACTAGAACACAGCAAGTATAAAATGTGTGTTGCATATGTTTTGCACTAGTGCGTCATGCATGGGAGCTGAATTTCAGTTTCTTTACTGGCTCCAGATTTGGACATCGCTAGCTTGGAAGATGCTTCCTTAAATTCCTTGTTGACGAAGTAGTAACAAATAGCGTCCAGGCAGCAGTTTGTGTTTGCGAGGACCGAGGCGAGGTGAACAAAATTATTAACCTTCTGTATTGCAGAGCAGTTGGAACTGATGGAATCCATTATAAAGCGAATGAGATGCCCGACGTAGAGAGGTAAAAAGCATACAATGAACACAGCCATGTTTGCAGACACAATATAGATGGCCTTCCTGATTAGCTTTTCCTTGTGACAGTTTTCATTCTTCTTTCTCATGAGTTCTGCAATGACTTGTATGGAGCAATAACTCAAGATGATCAATGGTATGAAAAACCCTACAATAATAGCACACAGTGTGGTCACTGAGGGCTTAACAGAAGATTTTTCAAAGCAAAGTTCATCTTGTTCTCGGGCCTCTAACTTTTTAATGAGTGACATTGCACAGATGATGACTATCCAAAGAAATCCAGAGGCGAAAGCTGCCTTCAGTGGTGACCTCAGCACCCTGGCTTTCAAAGGGTACTTGATTGCAAGGTACCTATCAACTGCTACGATAGTGATGATACCAATACTCATTAAGCGGTTTATGAAATAGCCACCTTCCAGAACCAGGCACCATCTACTTGCCTTCAACTGATGGAGCTGGGTTAAAGTTTTAAAAGGCAAAGTGAAGAGCAGAAAGCAGTCAGCTACAGCCAAGTTGACCATGTATACTCTGGTTTCTGTCCATTTGCCGAGTTTGCAGCAGAATACCCACAATGCCAACACATTCAGTAAAATGCCCAAAAGCAAAACTGGGATGTAAACACACAGCTGGACAAGTGGAAAATTTTCATAGGCTGTGATATTGCAGCTGCTGAGGTTCATTTTGGGGCTATTAAGAAGCACAGTTCCTGCAAAAGCAGATTAAACCTTTTAGAAGCTAGACTCTTGACTGAATCGGTGATTAATTCATATAGTTCAGGACTTTAACAACAGTGAAAACCAGACCCTGGAGATGATTCTGCAGAGCAGAGCTGGCTGTAGGGTGCCTAGTGGCAGGGAGGGACTGTGACATGGGCCTGATTCAGTTGTGGAGGAGAGAAAAATCGTAGATTTTCAGTGGGTCCGATGAGGGGAAGACTGCTTGCAGAGGGCAGCAGGGGAAAATGCTTGGGCCTCTGTTTTGGGCCAGACTCGGATCAGGTAGCATCAGATATCCTGCAGCTAGGGGTTATATGAGCTGTTCTAACCATCTGATAATGGAAAGGGGATGCCTAAACCCAGCTCTCATCCCTTCCCTTATATTGTTGCTCAGGACAAGCCAGCCAGCATCCTCACAGCTCAGAATGCTCCAAGAAATGTACAGCAAAAGGACAGCTGTTCTCTCCTTCAGTCCTCAGCTGTCTCTGTGTTACTTCTCATTAGTGATAGAGCAATTATTAGTACATCTCTCATTAGTTTTAGCTGCCATTGAAACCTGTGCTCAGTGGTAGCATTTAGTGGTCTGCAGCGACAATCAGAGTACTGGGGTCTGCATGCTGTCTTTCAAAGATCATGAAAGTTGGTTTTCATCCCAGAAGCATTAGACTAGTCTGCCACAATTCCAAGACAAAAAAACCCAATGCCACAGCAAGAAATGTGATCAGCAGCCATGTGAAACGGAGAGATGAGCTGTATCTGGTTTAGCGAGTGGTTTTGTCACCCTGGATCTAAGGGCAATCCTGCTGTTTGCCCTCCTGCTTTGGAGGAGTTAATGCAGGAATATATTCCAGGTGCAGCTGTTCATGGACAGAAAAGACCCAGGAGGTCTGACATGTATTTGGATTTTCCCTGCAAGGGGAACATGGCTCCATGGGTGCAGGTTTCCAGGGCTCAAAAGCATCACAAGCAAACAAACCACAGGGCAGTGCTGCAACATTTACATGCATCTGCAGCTCTTGGCTAGCTTTGAAAAATGTGCTGCTGAGGAATCATGCCAGGAGACCTCTTTGGAGGTGAAGGAATGTGCTACAGCTGATACCTGCAGCACCTCTGTGCTTTGGACACAAGGAAAGAGCTATGAGCCCAGAAGATATGAGGCTAGATCATAACATGCAACAGGGAGATCTAGCAAAGGCTGAGACAGCCTTTAAGCATCCAAAACATGTCTAATGTGGCCAGTATTAAAACGAGCCTTTGAAAATACCCAGGCTCCAGCCCTCTCTCAGTTTCTACCCCACCATTTTGGTGTCTCACCACGGGTGGGGAAAGGCGGTGCCTTGCAGAGCTCAAATAACCATGTCGGCAAATAGCCACGAGGAATTACCTGCTCACTCGCTGTCCTTGGAGAAGAGTGAATATTCCTCTAGACCAGCTGCTGTGTGGCACGCAGGCCCGGTGAGCCCTCCTACCAGTGCTCCTGGCACATGACCAGCAAGGTGTCCAGTGATGACCACTTGCCAGTGGTTGTGACAGCAGCAATGCTGGTGGAGGAAACACCCCCACCCCTCCTCGACGCATTTCCCCGGGGCTGAGCTTCCTCTGTCACCATTGGCGTGGCACGTACCACCCCCTGTTGACTGAGGAGCCTGTGACAGCCCTGCAGCGAGGTGAAATGCTCATCTGCTGTGTGGCACTACAGCAGTTTCTCCAGAGATGGAATGGCTTTGAATTTTTCCTTTGGTTTACTTTCCAGTGCCTGATGTTTCACTGGGCAATGCCCATTGACCATCTTCACCCAACAGGCTGTGAACATTATTTGGAGGGGACCCATTGTCCTGGAGGGTCCTGAGGTCATCTCTGCCTTCTACTCTGCCACTCCTGCTGGGGGTGGAATGGGGGCTGCTACCTGCTGTCACACTGCTGAGCCCCAGGACAGAGCAGCCCCAGCAGTCCCCTAGTCTCATTCACAGGGCTATTGGAGAGGTGAGGGTTGTGGTTTGCAGACAATTTTGTGATTATTGTAACTGTTTCACTCTGAATCATGGTAATTCTCTTGTTTCCCATAGTTCTTACCAGCCAGCAATTTGAGAAAATGCGGCACCGTGACCTGCTGACTTTGTGACTGCTCTGTGGTTACAGGCGCCTGCTGGCTGGGGGTCCTCCTTGGCTGTCCATTGCAACCCATTTACAAGAATTGCTCAGACAAGTTGATTGAGAAGCTCAAAGGTCCTGCTATTAGTACCTTGAATTGCTGTCTTGGGCGAACACATTTCCCCTTTGCACTTCCCAGGCCATTTTAGAGCAGCTTCAGGAGTATTTCTGCATTGTCTGTCTGCACATTACAAACCGGCCTTTGAGATTAATCAGTATAGAGCTTAGCTTAAATACTTCTCCTGAGTTTCCAGGGACAGCTTTTGCCTTTTTTGTGGCTGCTTATTGGTGACTGCTTTTATGTAGTTATTGACCTGTTAGTACACCCAGCTCATTGGGAGGGGGAATGGTTTGAAGTTGTGCCAGGGCAGGTTTAGGCTAGACATTAGGAAAAACTTCTTCACCAAAAGGGTTGTCAGGCTCTGGAATGGGCTGCCTAGGGAGGTGGTAGAGTCCTCATCCCTGGAGGTATTTAAAAGAAGGATAGATGAGGTGCTTAGGGATATGGTTTAGTGGTGGGATGTCAGGGTTAGGTTAAAGGTTGGACTCTATGATCTTAAAGGTCTTTTCCAACCAAAGTGATTCTATGACTGATCCCTAACCACCATCATCTTTCACGTCATGATAACTGTTAGTTGTCCTGGTTTCAGCTGAGTTAGTTTTCTTCCTAGTAGCTGGCATAGTGCTGTGTTTTGGATTTAGTATGAGAAGAATGTTGATAGCACACTGATGGTTTAGTGTTTACACTAGTCAAGGACTTTTTCAGCTTCCCATGCTCTGTCAGGTGCACAAGAAGCTGGGAGGGGCACAGCCAAGACAATTTTCAAAGCCATCCATCTCCTGTGTTGTGATAGTTTCACCACTCTACAGAGAACACTTTGCGCCATCCTCAAGTGTTGTCCGCACACTCCTATTGTCCATGTCAAGGCAATCACTATCATTACCAACTGTGAGCAGTAAAAATCAAGCCTGAAGGGAGCTCAGCTCATAGCATCTCTTCAGTGTGATGCTTCCCATCCACAGCTTGGTGCTGTGGTTGCTAGATGGGGGCAGCTATATCTCCCATCAGCCCAGCAAGGCTTCAAGGGAGGGACAAACTGTATCACCAGGCACAAAGCAGCTGGCTGTGATCAGCAGGTTGACCAGGATGTCAGAGCAACTCAACACCAGCTACCAGGAGGTAAAGCTACAATGAAGTGATGAAGTGTTACTTGTGGAGAACTTGCATGTCTCCTGGTGTGGCTCTTGGATCCCTGTCTGATTCCTGGACGCTGGCTGGGTCAGGATCCTCATGCTTTTCTCCTATCCACCTTGGCTCCCCATCAGCCACCCTCTAGGATCTTGCAGCTGCTTATGGCCCCCTCCTGCCATCCAGTCACAGGTTTTATCCATTGCCATGGACCAATGATGCTCACTTGGTATTTTCCCCTGCCTCTGCAGGTCTCAGCCTCTCAGCCCTGTGAATGCTGTCACCTTGTGGCACAGTGTAGGTGATACTCATGCTGTTTTCTCACTTGCTGGCAGCTCACAGGCAGGGTGGTTCAGGGGCCTGCAGTACCATTGAGTACCAGTGCCTGTACAAACTGCACTACTGCTCGCAATATTCTCCAAAGGACCTTTTACTGACAGCAACAGCTACCACACCTTGGCCAGAAAAGTGATTTTCTTAGTGAAAGAAGCCAGTGAGGCAAAATACTCCTGTAAGGTGAAGCACCACTTAACACTTGCCTTTATATTTGTTCCCTTCCATTTAATGTTATTCAGAGGTGTTGCAAAACCACAGGTTTTTCAGGACTGATCATAGTAGAGCTGTTACTGGCCAGACCCTTCCCTTACTCCCCCCATCCTATAGAAGAGTCTGTGTTTGGTGCTCTCTGTCTGCTGGTCCTATTTTGGCTGACTTATTTAAAAGCCTCGTTGCTGGTGTGAGATTTCATGTGCCAAGTCCTTTAAAATTCTGCACTTCTGGGGTTCCTCATCTGAAAAGCTGTGACAAAGTAATCAGGTAGTTTTCAGGACATACCTGGACCATTTTGTTGTTTTGATCAGCAGCAGTGCTGGGTGATCTCATTTCTTTGCTTGCAGTTTGTGTATGTAGGTAGCTTTTCATATATAAGGAAAGAATTTACTAAGACCCACTTCATCTTTACGCTTCTTGATCTCTAAGTCTTATTTCTGTTCTGCACAATCATTTTTTTCTTCCCTTGTAAGCTCTTCCTGATGTCCTGCTTGAGGTTGCTTCCCAGCCAAAGAAAGCCCTTCTCATGAGGTTTTCCTGTGCTCCTGGTACGGATCCCTAATAGACAGGACAGCTCAGGTTTGACAGACTGCTGCTTCCTTTCCCTGCCAGGGAAGATTTCTGTTTCCTCTGCCTCCCAGAGACTGTCCCCTGCTGGCTACAGCGGCTGGCACATCACAGTGGCACAGGGCCTCTGGCAAGGTGAGAGAAGTACCAGCACTCCCTCTACCTGTGCGAGGGGGACATGGGACACTGCGCCACTCTGCAGCCTTTTGGTTATGCAGTGTCTCTGTCCCATGTGGGGTTTTTTTCATGGCTTTCTTATGGGGAAACATGATGTTGCATCAGCAGATCTTGACCAAAACAGAACTACGGCTGGTGAGACTCTTTTCCCTTCCTTAGCACCACACAGAAACTGACCCATGGCAGATAACGCTCTCACAGGGCTCTCTGTACTATAGCCCTCTCATCATCAACACTGAAGGAATCGGCTGTGTATCTCTGTGCAAACATAGCGGGAACGGCATGGCAAAGCCTGTGCCTCTCAGCTGCCTACCTCTCCTTTGGTGCTTGCAGACTCCCCTGGAGGTGGCTGGGCAATGCTTGTGATTAGAACAATTGTGCTGCACTAAGAAACCAAAAAACACAGAGGTACCTCCAAAACCCAAAAGCAACACCCAACTTGCTAAAATGTAGAACTCCCTGATATGTGTCCTTCAGCCCCCGGGGAGACGAGGGCTGCTGCAGTCAAAAACTCTGGTGAGAACTCAGATTTCAGGCCTGCCCAAATGCCACCAAACAGCAAAATGCTGTCTGATGCCAGCCCATGCTTTCTCTGCTTAGAAGGGCCAAAAAAATGCAAAATCTGATGCCTATTCACTTAGAAGCAAGATTCTGGGTTACTTTGTAGGTTTTTCCTTGTGGTCTTTTTTTTTTCTTTTTTTTTTTTCTCTCAAGCCTAAATTTTTACTGCAGCATCAATTTGCTCATTTAAAGTTTAAGCCGTTGTTAGCATCTTTTTCTTTTAAGGGACAGAGATTCTATCTTGCTGAAATGTTAGCAGAATGCAGTGGTCCAGCTCTGCTTGTTGGAGCTGCTGATGGACTGTGGCTGCTGCTCCCCACTATCATTAGCCAGACTCTTGTGCTAGGAAATGGGAAAAATTTGTGGATAACCGTGTTGCTGTCCTCATGGATTGCTATTGCAGTGCCGTATGATGGCTGGTAGTTTGTTGTGGCCCGAGTGCTGATAGCTCATCTGTTCCATGTACTGGGAGCGCTCAGGGAGCTGAGGTTTTGTTCAGACTGGAGAAAGGTGTCAGAAACCCATCATAAACATCATTATAACTTGACACATAAATGAGATAATAATATTTGTCCTTGGTAGCACATACATCTTCAGGTAATCAGAAAGTTCTTTGCTCATCTTTGGGGTGTGCTATAAATATCCTGTTGTATGGCAGATCTTACATCATGGCAGCTAAGTCTCCTCTCACAATCTCCAGTGTAGGCTTAGTGTTAATCATAGAGGACTCTGATAGCAATAATAAATGAATATTTATTTATAGATATATTATTATGAGAGAGCTTGATTTTCAGTTGCAAAAGAATGTTTCCTTTTTTGTTTTTGTAGCGTTCAGTACAAACAGCAAAAAATATTACTTATTGATGGCAGGGATTGTGAAGGCAACAGATTTCCACTTTGCAATAAGAAAAAGGAACGCTTAATTTTTTAAGTTTAGAATGTGAACAGTGGGAGACCTCAGTTTGCTTCATACAAGAAAAAAGTGTGCACTTCATACAGCTCTATGCAATAAGCTTGGCTGAGTATAGGAACACCTGCTATAAAGTCTTTAGGGCAGCTGTTGTACTGGACTTGGCACTGGCAGGGAGTAAGCGAGCGGCTGTGTGGTGCTTTGCTGCTGGCTGAGGTGAAACCACGGCAGCTGTTGAGTTTAATAGAGTGCCTTGTCTGTGATCCTTCCTTGATTTAAAAACTATAGGCTTGGGTAAGAAGAAAGTGCTCTGAAATTCTTTGGTTACAAAACAGTAGCAAATGGCATCTCAACAGCAGTTAGGATTTGCTATACTATGAGGCCTATACATGAAGGCACGTGCACAAATGCTTTACTATTTCGTATTTCAGAGTAGACAACCTAATTGGAGCCCACTGTAAATTGGACAAGGTGCCCCATGTTAACAAGGAGAAAACATGAATGTGACTGGGTTTGCAAAAAAAGTTGTTTGCTTTCTGGATTAACAGTAGGATAACAGGTTGATATGAATCAACCTTTATCTTTTTTTCAAAATAATAAAAATTTTCATAATAATCTGTTTGGAACAGACATTCATTATAACCAATGTGATGCAAAATCCCAAAAGCGCATCCCAGAGGCAAAAGTGGTTTTGAAGGCCCTCTGCGCTGTTTCTGGAAACAGAAGTCTTTTTCCTTGCTGAACACCACTTGCCTGGACACGTGAGTGATGCCTGTCATGACGATTGATGGCACACCATAACGGAGCATGGGCTAACGGGGACCCTATGCCTCTTGGTCTCCAAGGATAGTTAGTTGCAGGCTATTTGTTGATGGCTACAAGGGTGACAATACTCATGCATCTCCTTAAGCAATAGATTTTTTTAAGCTCAGGCACTATTTGTCTCTTGTATCTTTTCCTGTCTTTGAAAAGGCAGAATGAATGTGCAATGATTAAGTTGGTCATGTACACACATGGCCCTTTTGCTCTGCTTGCAGTGAAATACCAGTAATGGCAGAGCGTTAAATAATATATCAAAGAAGAAAATCAGGGCATAAATGATAACTGAGTGATCTGAGTAGTTTCATCCAGCTTTATGCCACAGTTGCTCACTGCAGCTTCCGTCATACTGGGACCTCTTCCAAAGTATTGAGACAAAGCAGGCAGTTCTAATGTGTGGATGGGGAGTACTTTCTGTGGTGGGATTATTCATTTCCTGTGTTGTTTGGCCAATGTCCAGACAGTGGTTTTAGCATGTGGTCTGCAGACCATAGAAGGTGACAGGGCACTTGTAGGAGAACTACTAATAAGTTATCACTCAGGAAGTATAGAATATGGGTTTGCATTCCCTGGAGGCATTTTTTAGGGGTTTCCAAGTCAGAAAATGCTGAAAGTCAAGGACCACGAAGCCAACCAAGATACAGCTATCACATGTATTTCAAAAACTCTGTAAAGTTTCCCACACTGACTTTAAGTTATTGAAGTGACTATGTGGTAAAATTTTAGATGAAATTTCTATGCAGATAAAGACAAAGTAGTCACGCCCTGGCACTGGCTCCTCTCTCAGCCCAGGTTTCTGTATAGATCGCTTCCTTCCGGTGCGCCAAGACCTCTCTTTGTGGCTTAACTGTTTTGAGCTGCTCTGTTGCCACTTCCCTGTGGGGTGGGAGGATGTATGGTGCATAGTCAGCAAGCACAGATATTATAGAGGAATTTGGTACATGGAAAGCCAGACATTAAAACTGATGCCTGATCTGGAATCCAGCTAGGATATATCAAGGCTCTCTGTATAATGCATAGGAAGAGTTAAATGTCTCAAAATGAGGTGCAGGAGAGCTGTTGAACCTCCACTGTGCACTTTCCAAGCAGCTGAAAGAGAAAAAACCCCAAATCCAAAGCAATGCTTCATCACACACGGCAATGCCGAGAGGCCCCCTGCTGTGGGTCTGCCTTATCTCTGCAGAAGGGCCCTACACACCCCACTCTCACCAAACCTCCCCCAAAAACTGTTCATGCATGGTGAGGGAGGGATCAGGGCTGCATCTGCTTCATGTTGCTCACTGCTGTTTTCTGGGCATCAACACTCCTGCAGCGTGAGGCCGTGCCGACCCAGGCAGATGTGATCACCTCTCACCAGACAGGACAGCCACTGAAGATTTGATCCCATTAAAGTACAATGACAAACCTGTCACCAGGGCTTATGGTAGTTGCTTGGGTGAGATCAGATCTTCGCAGCTTTATACTTGATATGCATAATGCTAAGGGTCCGTTCTGTGGTCCACAACGCTTTTCATAGCTCAGTTTTTCCATGCTGTAATGGCTTTATTTATACCCACAGTGATTTTAGACTCACAAATGCCAGGCCATTGCCACCAGCTAATACAAGTGTTATGTGGCAGGAATGGGGCGACTGTCTCAGGCCACTGGCTGACTCCTGCAGTTTACTCTATGCACAGCAATATCTGCATCTTGGCGACAGCTGCAATCTTCAAAATTATATAGGTTTGCAGGAAGCTACCACTGTATGGGCAAATTCTTTGGTGTGAGCAGCACAGATGTATTGAGTTTGGCTTTTTCTTGTTTTTAAGTGACCATATATATTACAGTACCAGAAGTGGATTTATATATTGCTGTAAGGGTGCTCAGTTTCCTGTGTTTAGCTGCAGGATATGTACAAATAAGCACATGGCAGAAATAATGGCCTTATAATCTGTTCTCCGTACCACATGGCTCTCCCTTTTGACCAGGAGATACCTGAAGCCGCAATACAACAACGCAAGACAACAGTCAGAGCCTGAGTCAAGTCACTGAGGACAGAAGGACAAAATTCAAGTTAATATGAGACCCCTTGGAGGGTGTTGCCCCTTTTTGCAGGTATGCGTATACCTACAATGATTGCAAATACTGTAGGTGGTCCCATTCCCTCTGCCTCGAAACATTAACAGCACTGTGGCTCTTAACACCTATAGTGTAGTACACCTTGTTTTTGTCATGACTTGATCTGTGGATGGCTGTGACTCTTGTTCTTGGTTCATCTTGCACCTCATTGATATACAAGTGGGGAACAGAGAAGGAAATTCCTGAAATTCCTTGGCTGCAAAGTAATAGCAAAATGCATCCAAACAGCAGTTAGAATTTGCTAAGCATGCACAGATCTGAATGGAGGCTCTAACTTCTGTGATCAAAGAACAAGCTCCAGCAACATCCACTGCAAACCGCAAGAGCAGTGTGATGTAGAAAGGTGAAAAACATACAATGAACACACACAAATTCACAGAAATAATGTGGATTGCTTTCTGGATTAACTTTGTCCCATGAGGGCTTGTGGCCGTCTTCTTTTTGAGACATTTGATGACTTGTACTGAGCAAAAAATCACAATCCCTAAGGGAATAAAATACCCAAAGATAATGGAGAATAACGATATATAACTAGGTTGAAGGGATTGTTTCCGAAAGCAGAGTTGTTCCTTTCTTTCATGAAATTTTGGGTGCAAGTAAGAGTAAATTATCAGCGTTATCCAAAGAAACCCACAGATAGAAGCTGATTTCAGCGGGGAACGAAGAATCTTTGCTTTTAGAGGGAACTTGATTGCAATGTATCGATCAATCGCAATCAGGGTGATGATAAGGATGCTCATAGGCATGTTTGTAAAATAGATGTTCTGTATGGTGAAACACAGCTTGCCTATGGGATGGTCGTACTTGGTAAAATATATCATGAAAGGCAGGGAAAAGAGCAGGAAACTATCCGCAACCATGAGGTTGATCATATACACCCTGGTCTCAGTCCACCTCTTGAGTTTGCAGCAGAAGACCCAGAAGGCAATTGTGTTGAGTGGGATCCCAAAAGAGAACACTGGAATATAGACAATAAGTTGAAATAGCGCAATGTCATTCTGCAGTGCGTCATCACCTGTGGTGCAGTTCTCCATGTTGGGCTGTCTCTGCAAGAAAAGGGTGCAGGCATAAGACTGAGCTTGGACACAGTTCTTCTGAGGTGAGTCCTGCTGCAGTGCCTCTGCTTTCATGGTTCTGTGGCTCCTCCCAGTCCCTGGAGGGGCTCTGTGGCTCATCAGCACCATCTATCCCTCAGCCATCAAAGTAACACTGTCACTCACCACCAGCTAACACAAAAATACAGAGGCAACCCTCTCTTGCAGCTATTAGGGAGCTAAGCCTGCCTTGCACTCCATCCAGTCCTGGTTTGCACAGTTTGGGTAACAGCAAAGAGTCTGCAAAGCAGAAAGGTAATTTTTGTAATCCCTTAACTTTGCTGCTGCTGTGGTTATCAGAGAGCTACTGGCTTTAGGGCATCCCAAAGCAGAGCTGGGCAGCATTCCCTCTTTGCCCTCCAAGGCCCTTGCTTTGCTGCTAAAGCTGACCCATGGGTTTGCTTTGGCTCTTCCCAGGCCTGTGAACCTGCACAGGATTTGAGCCCTTCCAGCTGTAAGGTAGCTCAGGTGGCTTTACTCCTGGGGGAGGTGGGAATGTTGCTGCAGGCCGGTGGGTGAGTGCCTGCTGCAGGCAGGCTGCCCCCAGGCACCAACCCGCTCCTCTTGCTGCAGGATGTTGGGGAGGAATAGCTCAGCATGGGTACCACCAGCCCTAGCAGATAAGAGGTCTCCCAAGAGAGAAGGGAAAGTGAGCACATGTGTTTCATCTCAGCCTTCAAAGATAGGAAGCCCAAATGTTGCTAGAGCAGAAAACACGAATCCAAGAACTTAGACTATCTCCTGGTATTCCTTTAAATATTTCAGGGCATCTGCTACCAGCAAGGAGGCTGAATGAGACTTAGTCTCATAAAGAAAGTGTTTACAGTGAGGCAGGGAAGGAAAACAGCCAGATTCCTACAATCTCTTATAAATACATTGCCTTATAAGTCAGCAGCTTCTAAGCATCGACATCTAAACTATAGTGAAAATATCTGATTGTGCGAACTAAGTGAACTGTTTTTAGTGTCCAAGACTGGGAGACAGATTTGACAACCACAGAGGAAAGTGCAGCACCTGCTCTAGCACCAGAACTGGTATGGCATTACTGAACCGCAGGGATACAGGCATTTTTAGGGTAGAACTTATGGAGTAACTAACATACAGCTGGTGTCCTGGCTCTCTTGGGCTTTCAGCCTCACAGGTCCTTGGCCGCACTGCGCTACCAGCTACCCTGAAGCCATTCCCTGCCAGCCTACCATGGTCATCCTGCCCTGAAAAGCCACTCTCTGCAGGGATAGCACTGCCCCGAGGAGCAGCTGACCCCTCCAGGCTGGGCTGGGAATCCTGGCCCCACCAAATCCCCCATGTAAGCACAGAGCCAGTGGTGGTTCCCAAGGTCCCATGCCACAGCATGCCTGGAGCTGGGTGTCACCATGGTAAGAAGCACTGGTGTGGAACCGCAGCGAGGGGTGAAGACCCCCTGAATGACACGTGGCTGCAACACAACGAAACCTAACAGCTATGAAAGCAGGAGGCAACTGAAGCATCTGTGTATGGCTGAGGACCGACCCGTATGTTAACAAGCAGGCAGTCCTGGCTAGCATGTCAGTTGAGAGATGAGAAAGCATACCCTGAAGTACCGAGCAGAGCACACTGCCACACGCCAGTCTGGGAAGAATTAAAAGATATTACCTGCTCCTTGTGGGGCTGTCAGGTGGATTTAGTCCTCAGAAAGGTTGCAGTGTAGATGCAGACATCCTGGCAGGGGAGGAGATCGGTTGGGGCCGTGGGTGCCGGTGCAGGGTGCTGCTCCATGCAGGGCACAGCTGCCTGGGAGCCTGCTGTCAATAGCTCAGGAGTGCTAAAACACAGCAATGAACTCTTGTTCCCCAAAAGTGCTTCATTTATCGCCTACTTTTGCGGATGGTCGAGTCTCTGGTGCCCTCTGTTGTTCTACACACATCAGCTGAATGCTTCACCATAATTTTTCCACCCAGTCTGTGCTGGCCCCACTTGCTTCACACAAACTAGCAATTAAAATTTAATATTTTCACTCATGGGAAAACAAATAATTTCTGAAATAAAACCCATAATGGTTGCAAATTGCCCTTCTGGCAGCGAAAGGTCCCCTGGGGAGCACAGCAGCCTGTGCAGCCTCCGGTGCAGTTGCAGAGCGTGCTCCAGGCAGGCAGCAGTGCGGGGGCCGATGGCCTTTCCAAGAGGCACATCAGTGCTCATGCACCCTGTGATGGTGAGCCAAGGGCAAGAGGACCCAGCATGCTTCTCTTCGGTGTCTTTACAAGAAAGGTGACAGGCGTTATGGGCCTGCTCATCCTCTGCAAAGCAGCCAAGTGTCTAACACTGTTTATCAGCATTACTGGAAAGCCCAAGCTGGTAACGACAGTCACTGCCACCTGAGCATGGGTGAGAGAGACTCGTGTGGCAGTGAGCACACCATAGGTGTCAAGACCTTTGGAAACATGTTTAAGAACATGCCCTAGTGGTATTTTATAGTAATTTTGATGGCTTTTGCTGTCTCTTGGCTGCAGCAGTGGCAGTCCCATCTATGTGAGCCAGCTGACGGGAGCCAGACTCTGACTTCCTCAGGATTTGTGCCATTAATTCATGTTTCCCGAGCTCACAGTCCCAAAGGTGGCAACAGCAGACTGAGCATCAGCCATGGGCTCCCTGAAGGCAGATGTAAGTCACAGGGAAAACTGTGTAAGTGAGCAGGGAAGAGTCCTCCATGCTGTCTCCCGGAGCACTCTATGCATTGCCTAGCAGAGCTCGGTGGCCATTTTGGAGATTTTTCAGTATTCAGAAAGAAAAAAGCCCAGTCCTAGGGAGCATTTGAATAACATGTAGAGTGTCAACCCACTCCCCATTTCCCTGGACTTTTCTAGGCTGCTGACTCATAGACAAATGCATTTCCCCCATGGAAACATTAGGGGTGTCCATGTGGGCAGGCTGCAGAAACCCAGACTCAGCTGTGTCCAGCTGCGAGGTGCAGCTGTGGGGTGATACTCTGACCCTGAGCTGCAGCTGGGAGGGTGAAACTGGGGACCAGCCTGGTGCCACAATGTAACCCCAGCGAATAGCAATGCATGGGTGACAAAGGTCTAGACAAAATTAAAAGGGCTTTCCCATGGGTGGGAGCAGCAGCCTCACCTTAGGCTGCTCTAGGGAGGTGTCTGTGCCAGAGCTCAGCAGTGCAGCAGGAAGGGAGCCAGCAGGAGGACTCAGCTCTGAAATCTCCTGGACTTTGTGCGTTTATGGCACTGGGCAAGTCTTGCTTTCATCCTAAAAGTGTTCCTTCACATCTATCTGACCCATTGACTTGAAGGGGAAGGGTCTAGGCTGTTTTGTAGGGCCATGTACTTAGTAATATGCTGGGACCTCCTGAACCCCTCCAGGCCACCAAAGGAACATGATAACAATAAAATAGATTATTTTAATAATGCAAACAACCTGAAATGTATAATGAGGTAAACCGTGATATATCCATTTGTACATGTTGGCAATAAGGATCAATTGACTTTAGCTGCAAAATGAACTAAAACAGGGAGACATACATGGGTCACCTGTCTACTCCAGCGAGTAGGTGCTGGAGGGTGGAATGGCAACACATTAACTATCAGCGATTACATACACACTTACACATCTCTGAGAAATAACTTATTTGTTTAATAGAAACATAGGATATAAATTGCAATTAACTTAGTAATGCTAAACCTAACAAAGAGCTCCTTAGAGAGGAAGAGCAACAGTTATCCCAATAATGCTGAAGCTGTATCTTCTCTTGATGTTACAGAATTGTTGTGGGGTTTTGGGGGTTTGGTGTTTCTGTCCCCCCTGCTCCCCCTGCTTCCTTTAGCAAGTGTGTGTCTGCAAGGGGTTGATTTGATCTGTTTTTTCAGTGCTGGGTTTGGGCAGTGGAAAGGCTTCGTGGAACTCCTTGGTCACAAAGTAGTAGCAGATGCTATCCAGGCAGCAGTTGGATGTGGCAATACACCTTGTCACAGAGGAGAAGTTCTTCATAACCTGGAGCAGGAAACAGGTAGTTCCGATGGTCTCCATTATGAACCTGGCAACTAACCCAAGGCAGGCTGGCAGAAAACATACTAGAAATACAATCAGATTTGCATAAATAATGTGAATAGCTTTCTGGATTAATTTCTCCTCTGGTGAATTTCTGTTCAGACATGTCTCAAGGTTCCTGATTACTTCTGTGGAGCAAAAAGTCAAGATTGCTAATGGAAGAGTAAAAATGAATAAAATTAAAAGCAGGCTCAGAGTAGTGGGTGCAGTGGTATCCTTCTGAAAGCAGCGAGTGGCATGTCTCTGCCAAAGCTGTAAGGTGGCTCCAATTATCACAGAGACCCACAGAAGCCCACAGAGAAGGGCAGCCTTTGATGGAGACCTGAAGGTCCTGGCTTTCAAGGGGTGTTTTATGGCAATGTATCGATCAATGGAGATAAATGAAACTATGTAGATGCTCACTACCATGTTGATAAAATACATTGTCTCTGAAAACTGGCAGAGTTCATCTCGGGGTGACCTATTCCAGAGCAAATAAACCATGGAAGGCAAGTTGCAGACGACAAAGAAGTCTGCAAAGACTAAATTGATTACATACACCTTTGTTTCTGTCCACTTCTTTATCTTGAAGAAGAACACCCAGAGGGCAAGGGCATTACATAGTGCTCCAAAAAAGAAAATGAGGTTATATAGAGCAAATTCAATGAGACGAACATGGTGATACAGTTCTAGATTTGTGACATTGCAGTTGTTGGACATATTCATTGTCCTGATTTGTAGATGTTGTATGATGTTCTCAGACCTGAAATGGGAAAAGACATGGTAAGGCTTTCCTTTCCTCCTACCTCTTAATAGATGCATGGCTCTTATAAAAAAAGATATTTAAGTAAATATTTACTTTGTTATGAATGTGAATTTGAGTCTACAAAGCTGGCCTTCTCAGTCAGCCTGTAACAGGGATGCATCCTTTGTCAAGCTTTGTTCATGTTTACTCAGTTTATGAGTAAATATTTCAAGGTACACTTCCAATAGGACATGGCAGACAGCCTTTATTAAACAGGGGGGTCTCAAATGGAAGGGCAGAATAACAGTTAGAAGAGCCCACATAGGTAGCGGGGGCATCCTGTGACAAATGTGAACACTAATTCCTTAAGCAAGGCTGTGCAAATGAGGTAAATTGACCCTTAGCTTGGTTTTGAGATAGGCAGGGATTGCAGCAACCAAAGCTAAAGCCCAGCACAAGCCATGAGCAAAAGCTCGTCTACCAATTCTGTTGGCTTGGGAGACAAGCAAGGGGGCTGAAGGTCTGCAAGGGCATAGTAGGTGTCACTTGGTAGTCATCCTCATGCTCTGGCTCTAACTGGGCAGGTTTCTGAGCCTTTGGGCTACCTTGCAAACCTGGACCTCCTGCTCCAAGATGAGGAAAACAGAGCTGAATCTGAGTTCCTGCATGCCAAAGGCATGCTTGAAACCCTCAGAGAGTGAGCGAGGCATGCTGCTCTCCACCTCCTTGGGAGTGGAATAGGGGGTGGAGGGATTAACCTGATTTTAAGCCCATTCATTCCAGGAGAGATTACAAGTCTGCAGATGTAAAGCAGAAAGGCACACCTGGAAGAGGAAACACCGGTGCAAATCCATGAACTTGCCATTACGGGCTGCATTAGATGGTTCCCGCTCAAGGCAGGCATCCTGCCACCCTGAAATCCATGAGATGTAAGTAGTAGGTATTAAGCCTCTATCATATTGGCTACTAGATGTTTTGCAGGAGTATTGATTATGTGAAGAGTGTGAATTCATGGGCTGATAAAAATCAGCTTTCATCAGACCCCATCCTGTGCAAAGTGGCTCTATGGGACGTGCACATGGAACAATTCTCTGAAATAGTGATTCTGTATATATGTCACTGAATTTTTGCTTGCATCTAAATGCACTTTGGAAAGAATTTAACCTTTTCATTTAAAATAAGTTATTTACTACTCTAACAGGAGAGTGAAGTGGTGAGGTAGCTGGTGAAATCCTACAGCTTTCAGAGAGGTAGGAAGGGACACCATGACTGAACGTGCCTGGTTAAGCAGCTATTTGCTTCTGCAAGCTGCACAGACCTTGTGGTGTGAGGGCACTGCCAGCAAAATCAGACTTCAGTTCTGAAATAACTGATAAACACACAAATAATTCAGTTGCTGGGGGGGATACGTGAGTGTCTTGGGCACTAGCAGACACTAAGGTGACTCCTGTGTAGAGCTCTCTCCCAATTCTTGTCTGGGTTTCCCAACAGAGGCTTGCTGCTCTCTGCCTGCACCTTGGGAGGAAGCTGACAGCTGCCACCTGAGGAAAACCTCTCTGAACTACAGTAAGTAGCAGCAGGGAAACACCTTGCATCAAGGGCTGAAGCTTCCACAGTGTTAGGCTCGCTGTCTGCATGAGGCGGGTGTCTTTGCTGGCATGGCTGATGCCCAGGTTGCTTTTCATTGGCCCTGGTCTGCAACGCCAGCGGCAGCCTCTGTGCTGAATTACAGTGCAGGCAAACCATGCTGGTGTGCTCTGCGGCATGAAAGGGCTATGGCTGACTGCCTTTGGGTCTGGAGATGGGGCTCAAATGCAGTTCCCAGCATCAGTGACCTGCCCTGCTGGGGGCTTTGGTGCACCTCAGGGCTCACAAATGCTCCAGGCCGCAAGGCAGCCCAGAGACTGGGGGGAGGCGGGAGGAAATGAGCAGAGGGTTTTAAAGTGGGCCACATAGCACAGATAGGGTATAGCTGAGCACAAAATGTCTTTAAAGAGATGCAGTTTGATAAGCTAGCATATCCTGTGGCTGCTGGAAATGCTTAAGGTGGGGTATATGAGACGGCTGCGGCACCACAGGGGCTAGGCAGCAACCTACAGTTTTGAGCAAAGGCAGGAGACAGCTGTAAAACAGCATCTTGCTGCTGCTAGAGGACAAGGAACAGGCTGGGGCTTGGCAGACAAGGTCACCAGTACTGTGGAGTGTGTTCTGCTTTCCCCCTGCCATAGACTGGGGAGAGCTGATCAGCAGCTGTCCCCCACCATGGAAGCTGGTGACCAGCTGGGGAGGAAGGCTGGGCAGCTGAGGGGGGCTGCTGGGGTGGGTGAGGGAAGGGACCTGGAACTGAGTAGAGGGAAAGGGAGAAGGAAAATGGGGTGGGAAGGATGGGGTACAGCAGGGCATCTGCATCAGCTGCCTTCAAACCTGCCACCTCCACGGCAACTGCCCTGATTTTCACCAACTTTACTATAAATTGAATGGGTAGCTGTCAGCAAGGATTTAATAAATATGCTGCACACGTATGAGAACAGACTTGGACAGAGCAGTACTTCACAGGGGTGTTAATCTAACTGTGGGCAGGTCTGGCCGGGCCCTCAGCAGCAGGCTGCGCTGGGAGGGAAGCACGGGCAGAGGGAGCAGATAAAGCGCCTCCGTGAGGGGCTTTTCCTCTCTGTTTCCAAACAGCATAAAGAAACCTGGAAACTGCCTGCTCCGACCTTGCTGCTGTTCACAGCTCTCTCAAACACTGATCTAAGGCACAGCACTTTTTTCTTTTCTTTTTTGAAACCGGTATTCTTTCAGGCCTATCTGTCTTTGCATCTCTTAAAAACAGTAATGTAGTCACCCTAACCACAGAACTGCTTTGAAAGACCCTGGAAGGGGATGCAAGGGTTCACTTAGAGAAAAAAGAAATCTTTTGGAATCATTTGTTTCCTGTGTTGGGATGAATTTATCTTCCAGCTCCCAGCTGCTGTTAGGAAATAATATGCTGTAAAGATAAAATACCTGGAAAATACCTTGGAGTAAGAGCAGAAAACAAAAGGCTCAGAGATTGCAATGTACTGCATGGACCTCTGTGTTGCAGAGTCCGCTCTGCCCGGCAGAAACCAGGTGTCTAAGCCTCCTCCTCCTCCTCCGAGCTACAGCGGGACCCTGAGCAGCAGTTCACAGAGAGTGCAAGAGAATGAAACAAAGCGATGTTACCTGAGGTTTAGTGCCACAAAATCAGCAGCGGGTCAATCAGCAGGGCACATGGGGGGTGGGCATCCCAGCCAGGAGGAGCAGGGGCAGCTGGGGCCAGAGAACAGGCACAGGCTGCTTGCACAGGACAGGCGGTACTTGAAGGTTTCTATAGCACCTCCTCCTCCTGCATAGGGGAAGATTTCATATCAGTTTGGTCTTGAATGTCAACCTGCTGACCAAATATACTGTGGCAATACTTTCCAGTGATGTCTAGAACCTCATCATTCATTGCTTTCTAAAATGGTGTGTTCAACAGCTAGCAGTGGTACTCAGCAACTGTGGATTTGAAATGCTGTGTTGAAACCTAAGCTAAGCAAGGCCAGGAAGATGTGATATCTGGTATCATGCAGGTGGAGGTGCAGGGCCCTCCCGCTGAGTGCTGAATTGAATCATGCTTGCACAGTTCTGGACAGGGAGGTGGGCACACCGAGCATCTTGGCACATAGCATAGGCTCTCTCTAGGCTGGAGAAGGTCTCCCCAGCTCTCCTCAAATGGAGGCTGCTGCACCTAGACGGCCCCTTGGGATGGGTTTGGTGCCTGGGGCAGGTATGGAGCAGGAGATGGCCACAATGGGGCCAGCAGCAGGGCTCCAGCCTGCTCTTCTGTTTGAGCACAGGCACAGCCAAAGCACCAGAGAGCTTCAGGCTGGCAATTGAACCAAGGCTTTGGCATCTCATGTGGGTGGCAAAGACCCTCAATTGTCGGACCCTGCCTTGGCAGAAGGGGCAGGGGGAGAGTGAGCTGTAAACTCCAAAGGGCTCAGCAATGGGCTATTTAATCAGCATGCAATATAGCTGGTGGGGAATTGTCTCGCTGCCCACTTACCCTTAGTACCTGACGAGCTGTAACACTTTTACATTGCAGCGATGCTAATGGTGGTTGGATGCTCATAAAATAGCACAATGGGTACTCCACTGGCTACTAAAATGCATAAGATGTGAGAGAAGAGAAACCTGCTGACTTGAGCTCGAGGTGACAGTGTGCAGGCACTGGTGTGGTGAGTGAAGGATGGTAGGATGTCGATGTGGCCCTGGTGTCCCTGGCTCGGGAGGCACAAGGTGGCATCAAGCAGAGGAAGCGCTGCAGCCCAGCTGTCCATCAGGGCTGTGCAGGGGAGAGGACACAACAGCAAATCCTGAAGACCCGCTCCCTCTGCTCTGCCACAAGGCTTACCCACCTTGCAGCCACCCTATAACCAGGGAGACGCGCATGCCGATCACAGCCCTCAGGAGGCAACCAGGCATCCAAAGCCCCCAGGTTTTTTTTGTCACAGGAGACAAACCACCAATGCATAAGGTAGGAGCCATGTAAAATGTCTCTGAACCACATGCTGATAAGACCCTCAGATACCATCTGGCATTTGTGAGGTGCTGTGGCAGAAGAGGGCAGGGAAGTGTGCTGATACGAAACTCTGCAGTGGCTCTTTGGGTCACAGCACAGAAGAGAGACTGGAGGGTCTCTGCAGGTGTTTAAGGCCAGAAAAGACATATGTGAAGAGAGCCACAAAGGAAAGGCTGTGGGAGCTGTTTGCCTATGGTAGCTGCAGCTACAGAGACTCATGCTGCAAGTTATTTTTGAGTGGGTGCCCAGGGTGATGGCCTTGTTCACAGAATGGATGAGGTTGGAAGGGACCTCTGGAGTTTTAATCCAACCCCTTGCTCAGAGCAAGTTGCCCAGGGCTACCTCCATAAATTCTCTGGGCAACCTGTTCCAGTGTTTGATAATCCTGAGAGTAAATATTTTTTATATGTTTAAATGGACTTTCCTCTATTTCAGGTTGTGCCCATGGTCCTCTCACCATGACCGCTGAGAAGAGCTCCGTCTTCTTTGCTCCATCCCACTGGCTGTTTTTACACATGGATAAGATCCTTGCAAGCCTTCTCTTCTCCAGGCTGAACAGTCCCAGCTCTCTCAGCCTCTCCTCTTATAAGAGACGCTACTGTCCCTTAATCATCTCTGTGGCCCTTCTCTGGACCTGCCCCAGTAAGTCCATGTCTTTCTTGTACTGGGGAGCCCTGCACTGGACACAGCACTCCAGATGTGTCTCACCACTGCTAGGTAGAGGGGAAAGATCACCTCCCTTGACCTTCTGGCAACACTCATCCTAATACAGCTCATGATGCTGTTGCCTGCCTTTGCTTCAACAGTGCATTGCCAGCTCATGGTCAGCTTCATTTCCACCAGGATCCCATGTCCTTCTCTGCAGAGCTGCTTTCCAGCAGGTCAACCCCAGCCTCTACTGGTGCCTGGTGTTGTTCCTCCCCAGGTGCAGGACCTGTCACTTCCCCTGGTTGAACCTCATGAGGTTCCTGTCGGCCCATTTCTCCAGCCTGTCAAGGTGCCTCTGAACGGTGGCACAACCCTCTGGTGTATCAGCCACTCCCCTCAGTTTCGTACAATCTGCAGATTTGCCAAGGGTGCACTCTGTCCTAGCACCATGCCATTATTGTTTGGCATCTTCATTGTTTGCCCCAGTCTTGACTTCTAAGGGACTCCACTAGGGACTGGCCTCCTGCTGGACTTCATGCTGCTAATCACAGCCTTGGGCCTTGGCAGTTCAGCAGTTTTCAGTCCACCTTGCTGTCCATTTATCTAGACCATACTTCATCAGTCTGTCTATGAGGCTATTATGGGAGACAGCAAGGCTCTCGACACTAAAGTTGAGATAAACAACATACACTGCTCTCAATTCATCCACCAAGCAAAGTCATCTCTTCAGAGGCCGCTATCAAGTTGGTCAGACAAGATTTTGTAAATCCAATCACCTTCTTGTCCTTAGTATGCTTTTAAATCGTTTCCAGGACTTCATCCATCTCCTTCCCAGGGATGAAGGTGAGACCAACTGTGCTGTTGTCCTCTGGATGCTCCTTCCTGCCTTTCCTGAAGATACAGGTGATGTTTGAGCAAGTCAGCAGTGTTAAAGCGAAGAGCACACTGTGAGTGCCAGCCCACATGCTGTCCTGGCTGTAAAAAGAGAGGAGATGAGTAGCAGTAGAAAATTACTTTGGGCAGGGAAAAGAAAATGAGTGGGTTAAGCTTTCCTATGGAAGATGCCAGCTCTAACTTTATCTGCTACTGTCCAAAAATCTGGGTATAGTGCCTGGGACAGGAGCAGTTTCAAATAGAAATGCTGCACCGAGTGTGCTTGCTGCAGCCCCTTGAAGCTGCAGCGAGGATGTACTGATGGAGGGGAAGCAGAAAGGCAGGGACACCCATCTTCCAAATGGGTAGACAAGGTTTTGAACTATGAAATGCGAAGTGCACAAAAGCCACAGGCTAATGGGGAAAGGAGCAGACACCTCCCTGGGGCTTTGTGAGGTGTGATGCTTTGGGGCGGCAGTATGCTTCGGTGTCTGATGGTGTGGTATAATGGAAATGATGCAGTGGCAACCATCAAAGCACGGTGGTTTTCCTTCCAGGGGAGACTTGTCGGTAAGTGTGTTTGTGTCCGCAGAGTGTGAGACAGCGATGAGATGAGTCACACGGGTGTCAGCTCTGCAGACATGGAGCTGTCAGCCCCAGGAGCCAGGCTGTGCCTCCCTGAGAGCCCGCTGCCAGGGTGTCGCACCCACGGCCCCACCGCAACAGGGCCAGACACCCACTGTGGGGAGAGGCTGATCCCTTGCCACGGCTGTGCAGGTGAGCTGTCACCCAGGCCAAGTGAGGGAGCCGGAGCTTGTAGAACCCCTGCACCCTCCCGGAACAGCTGTTGCACACCCCATTGCAGGGGCACTTGTGCAACAGTGGGGCACCAGGGTGGGAAAAGGAAACATCATTGGGTGCTCCTGTGGGGCTGGGCAAGGTGGCAGCTCAGCCCCACGCACGGCCTGTGTGAGCTGCCAGGGTGGCCCACACGGGCAGGGTGCCAGGTGGGGGACACACAGATGGCATCACAGGAGCAGTGGAAGGGGCTGAGCGTGGCCTGTGCAACGTTGAGGCAGAGCTCCTATGTGAAACACACCAGGCAGTTGTGAAGGTGTTTCAGATCAGGTTTGCCCACGGTGTACATGTGCAGTGTTATTGCCCCGGTGTGTCTCATCTCATCCTTTCCCCTCCTCCTCTTCATCACAGCTCAGCTCACTTTCCAATCCTTCCTGTCACTTAAATGGACCCAAATACCTTCATGTAAGGGTGCTTCTGTTTCACACTGTTGTGTGTGCCCCTGACACTGACATAAGCCTTCCCAGGGCAGTCCTCTGCACTGGCAGCACAGCAAATTACCGTGTTGAAAAGTGTCTAATGAGTCACAGGAAACACCCAGGTTGGCACATACACAATTCTGCAAACATATCCTGCTGTTTCAGGTAGTTCTAGACAAGTGAAACCAGTCTGCAGAGAGCAGGTTGCCCCTGTGCATACTGACACCGCTGTATTTACCAAGGCAGCCGTGCCCACTGTCTGTCACTCTCAAAGAGGTCCCCTCCATGGCAATGTGGGCATAAGAGCTTCAGTTCCTCCTGCTCCCTGTGTTGGTGGTGAAAGAGAAGCCCTCAGCCCTGGCTGTCTCCACGCTAGTGGGGCCCATGGTCACCATGGTGTCCGAGCTCAGTGACGAACCCTGCCATGCAAGGTAGGTAGACAACAACAAGGTGGTTGTCTCACTGCATGGCAGGGGCCAGGGAGCTCCTGTAGGATGGTGTGGCCCCTGTGCTGCTGCTTGTAGGGCACAGAGGTCGCCCAGGGGCAGGGCCTGAACGCAGTTTGGGGCAGCCTGTGGAAGAAGAAACCCTGTCCATAGCCTATGTCATCATTGAGCAAGCTCTGTGAGCAGGGTCCAGCCAAGCTCTGTCATCCATGAACAGGTCTTAGGAGGCCAGATGGGAGACGAGATGGCTGAGCAGGCATCCTTCCATCCCTGAGAGACAGAGATGGGGTGGGTGCTGCGGTGCAAAATCAAGATGTGAAGGGACATGCACCTCTCGCTGGCCTTGCTGCCAGCAGGACAGATTGCCTAGCCTCCACTAGGTGATGTAGAAAGCCCTGAGTGGGTCCCACAGATGGAGAGAGATGGTTTGGTGAGCCCCCCTCAGAGAGAGACAGCAGGGTGTTGCAGGTCACCTGTCCTAGCACTGAGCCCCAAGGACTGGCTGAGGTAGGTGGAGTGGGATCCATCCCTGGCCGGACTCACATGCACTACTTCCTGTCCAGGAGCTCTGCCCCCCTCATGGACTGGGGAGAGTGGGGTGTCCCCCAGGGGACTGACCCTACCACCCTATGCTGGGTGGGTGGCAGCATTTATGGGTTTGGGTTGCAGGGCACAGCCTTTGGCAAGCCGAGGAAGGAGATGAACTTCTCCAGAGATGGTGCCTGTGATGGCATTGGCGCTGCCTCACGTGCCACCACAAGCATGCAGGAGGCTGCAGTCAGTGGTGAGGACTAAGAAGGTGGTGGCTGCCAGTGCCAGAAGGAGATTGAATTCAGCCCATGGAGGAGAAGGGAAGGAAGAGTGTTTCATGGCAGAGGGCTGGAGGTGCAGGTGAGCAGCAGCTAATTTGGAGGTGATGGCATAGGAGAGAGCCACAAAGAGGGATGTAGGTCAGGAGGGTGAGGTGGCTGGGGGAGAAGACCATGGGTGTGGGGACAGAGCTGGAGACAGGCTGGCCTTATGGTCAGGACTGATGTGCTCCACCCTGTGCAAAGGCTGGAAGTGGCCAGAGGACCCAAGGATATGGCAGGAGAGGACCTCTTGGATGGTGGTAGGCAAATAGCACTGGGAGAAGGTAGGGCTGTGCCAGTAAGGCCACTGGCCCTTGCCTGCAAACAGGGTGTCAAGCCTGGACACAGGGCTTCATTCCTCCAAGGAAGACAAGAGAAGGCTGTGCGTGCCAGGTCCTCATGAGGACCTGTATATTTTCCTGGCATTTTTCACCAGTCTTCTACCAAATATCTCAGTGATGTATGATGCTAAACTCGCACAGATTACATCTGTTTGCATTTTGCTAAAATATAGCACACTAAGCAGGACTAGATGCGATTTTGGTTGTGCTGTGAAATGGGGAATGCCTACATGGGATGCTGCAAACCTTCATGAGACAGCCTGGGTAACCCTTGAAGGTGCACCTTTTCCATGGCAGCACAGAAAAAACACTCTTAAATTGGGTTTTGTTGTTTTGTGTTTTGGGTTTTGTTTTTTTTTTTTCCTTCCCATTCCTCAACCATGAACATCTCTTTCCTACATTATCAATATGAAAGGTTACTTTGCTGTGCAATCCTTTGGGTGTGGAGGGTCTTCACTTTATTAAAATTTCAATTTCAAAGGTTAATTTATTTACAATTTATGCTCACATGTTCAAGGAGGAGGAAAACAAAGCTGATATAAGGATAGCATTGTTTATAAAGCTGGCCATGCTTTATTCAAGGGCCAGCTGCAGCAATACCCCATTTGTACTATGCTGTAAAAATACATCATACAGGTGCCTCTGTTTTGAATGAATTTTGCCTATGACCTGCACACATGCTGGAATGGATCATTAGTGCTCTTCAGGCTGTATACCAGCCTAGTCAGCCTTGTTAATGTTGATGCTATAGCCATATATCATTGATTTCTTGAGGTGAAAAAAACCTTTTGCTCTTATGTAAATATAAGAACCATTTTGTTTCTGAGTGTCCTGCACCTGGGTGGAGACACCTGATGTTTCAAGAGCTCCAGCAGACTTTTTATCCCTTTCTCTCAACCACAAGACACACACACACACACAAAATACTGTTTTTTTGCTAATGGGAAGCAACAGAGGAGAGCAGCGGGTAGGTCTTGTAATTGCAACACATACTTGCCTGACCTTGTCCTGCTCCCAGGAGAACAAATCAGTTTATCCTCTGCTTTCACCAGCTGGTCAGTGATTTGCCCATAGTTCTCCTTCCCATTTCTACATTTGAATAAAGGCGCTTTCAGACCAGGAGGTGCAATCACTCCTGCAATGTAGCATATCCAAGTGTTAGAGGCTTTTGCTTATGTTTTTGGACTTTGCCCATGGAACTTTTTTGTTCCTGGTCTTCTAAGCATTACTGTCATAGACTAGGTTGAAATGTATCTACACTGATTTCCTGAAAAGTGTGCTTAAAAGTTGCTGCCCTTCAGCCCCCGTGCTTGTTTTTCCACTTGTCTTCTAAGCGACATTCCACCTTGGTTTTTTTTATAAATGAGGATGAGAACATGCAGTTTAGCTGAGAGGTTTTCCTCTACAGGAAAGACTCCATTGCCCCATGTGGTGGCATTTTCTATAGGACATACAAGAAAGCCTCACTCAGCCCTTGCCCCTGCATTTGGCCCTGCTCTCTACACCAGCTAATGGGGATCTGGGGGGGCTGCTGCCCTGTTCCAAGTGCAGGCGTGGCTCATCAGCACATCGTCAGCCTTTTTAGGTACTGAGGTGCTTGGTGGCTCCACCACAACACCACTCAAGACTGTGAGCTAACAGTGCACTGTGCACCCACTGGCATACAAAATGGAACAGATAGCAGAAACAGCATGGAAAAAAGTCAAAAGATAATGATATAGGGTCATTTTTCTCATTTTCAAAGTCACTACTCAGGATCCTGTGTCCTCAAGTGATGCTGCCTTGGTGGACAAATGGCCATAACCTGCCATACAGACCCAATACGTCATTAAACTGTGAAACTTTTGCTACAGGAGGCCAGAGGCAGCAAAGCAGCCAGAGGGTTCAAAGAGGGGTGGGGGAGGGGGTGGCAGTTTTCCATAAACATACATTTTTCAGAATGAAAATGATCCTATCTTTTAAGAAGTAGCAATGAATCAGCAAAGGAGCAATGACAAATTAGATTCAAATCCATCTTGCATCATTTGTGAAAAGCGATTCAAATCCATCTGTGCCAAAAAGCTGCTGTTTTATCACAGATCTCAAACATTTGTGAGCAAATGTTTCATCTGATCTGTTTCCATTTCCTGAAAAGGAAAACAAATTTAGGAATACAGCTCATTAATAAGTTTAACAAATGAAATTTTAGGAATAACTCATTCAGCCTTTGATTCAGTATTTTCAGAAGGTCAATGAGCTAACTGACTCTAGAGAGGAAGCTTAAACAGGGCTTATTAGTGTCAAGGAGTTATATTTTAATCTCTTCTTCATTACTGTGTACCAGATAGATAACCACACATGATTCTGCTGGAGAGGTGAGCCATGCACAGGAAGGTAGCAGATAAGGATAAAAATTGCAGAACTGCATGAAAAAGCATAACGCAGTGTGGCAGCCTTGTTAGTGATACGGCAGCAATGGCTGATAAAGAGGCCGTGTCACAACATCTTGTAGGGTTGCTGCCCACACATGGAGCCGCTGCACTGGCACCGGCCACTGCTGCTCAGCAGTGCTTGGGCTGGTGTCCTCAGGGGGCTGCACTGAATAGGAGGTGGAAACCCAGCAAAGACCATTTGGTGGAGGGTCCTTAAAGCACCAACGGCCAGGGACACTGGAGCACCCACCACCAGGTCAGACTGGCACGGAGGAGTTGCTGAATGGCAATCTCCACTTGGTCCTCCAAAGACCACAGGTGACCTTCACCAGACCAGTGCCACCACAAAACCCAACATGTGAAGCCCTGCCTGGCCTCAAGCCCACCATCAGTTTCTGACCCATAAGTGAGGCACGCTCTTTATCCCTCCTGCACAAACAGACAGGTAACATTACAAAACACAAGCACTGTAAGCACCTGGCTTAGCTCCAGCAAAGAGCAATGTCTTGCCAAGGATTAAGTGGCTAAATACTTGTTTCTGATCAGAGGTACACCAGCTCCACAAACAACATCACATGGTTCCAAAGCACCGGGGCTGGAGGGCATGGCAGCTAATGATGACAAATGGGATTTTTCCCTCCTGTGTGTGCTACTGAGCATTCGATATAATTAAACTGTACAATTGGAATAACGGGATTTAAAGCAAATGCCGCTACCCCAAGCCTGCTGGGTGGTGTGAGCATCTGTTGGTGCATTTATAGAAAATGTAATATGTCGGTGATTGGATTGATTGGTAATCTTTGCAGGACTGCCGTTTAGATTAAAAAAAATAAGGTGTTGATGTTTGCTTTGCTTTTCAGGACAGGAAAGCATATGAGTATACTGATAAATGTCAACATTTCCTTTTCCTGGAGCTGTGCTGACGTATTACACGCAGAGAATACAATAGAAGAGAAAGAATATGAACTTGGCCGACAAGCACATACTCTGGAAGACGGGCATACTTCCACCTTGCATGGACACAAAGCAAGGAAAATGTGATTTGGGAAGTTAGCTCCAGGCTCTGCCACTGGACTGTGCCACAGTCTGCCATAGACTGCCACAATTTAATTCTGAGCTTGGACATCTTGCCATCTCACAGTTAAAACGTGTGAGGGAGTGGAGCTCAAAGCAATGTGCCCACAGAGAGCCACTGATTTTCACCAAGGCATTTGCACTCTTACTCATACACTCTGTGTCACCCACCTACTCCGTCACTGGTGAGAATTTAACGCAATGCGACACTTTTAAAAACCCCTGCCCTCGTCCCACAGCCAGCCTTTTGTCCCGAGGCCTGGAAAATGCGACAGTTTTGCCAGCATACGCAGGCCCTCCACAGGCCTCCCACTTGAAGACCTCCATGTTTTCTAGAAAAGATGAAACAAAACTTAGGCAGGAAATTTCGCCAAAAAGAGACCAAAGTGCCAAAAAGGCACTGAGTGAGCATGGGGCTGCGGAGAACAGTGAGCTGTGGGCATCGGGGGGCACATGAGGAAAGGAAACCCAAGAAACCCATAACGTTGTGTTGGATCCCATTTAACTCTGAAATTCATTTGGTGGGTGGGGCTTTGTCTGCTTTGCTCCCTGACTTTTCATCTATGCGACAGCCTTTCAGCACAGCTTCCTACTCAGGAAAGCAGCAACTTTCCCCACAGCTCCCTTGTGCAAAGATCTACTGTAGTGCATTTTCCAGATGCTAGCGATACAGACCCCCAGCCTGCAGGTAAATAACACACACACACACACACACCCCGCCCCTTATGAATTCAATGCCATCTTCTGCCTATTCAGGACTGAGTTTTACTTGGTGTTAGTCAAGCGACTTCTAGACTTGCCCAAGTTTTTTTGTTGTAATAGTCTCAACAGCCTCTTATTTAGGTGCCCCCTTTACGTCTCCAAGTTTTAATGGTTTAAAATACTAACTTATCACAATATTGGTGTTTTTTGCAGAATTAAAGGCCTTCTGTGAGGTCAGCAGGAGCCGATGGGACAGTCAAGGGCACCCAATGCTCACCTGCAGGTGAAACAGAACTTGGTAATGCACATCCCCGCTAAAGGTAAGTCCTCAAGTCTCCAGGAAACATCATAGGTATCTATAGATAGAGAGCAAACCCGTGAACACTTGGGTCATGCTGCAGCAGGAACGTCCGAGGACACACGTGCTGCTGCAAGTTGCTGATGTGACCAGATAATTGCTTCTTTCCATCAAATCACAGCCCCTCATTCACGCCTTATTCATTTCACTGCATCAGCAGCTTTTTGGCATTTCAACTACAATGTGCAGTCACTCTACTAACCATGGCCCTGAGCACAGTACAGTGTCTCACACATGGATGAACTCTCTCATCTAGTACTTCTCTCCTCCTTGAAGTAAAAGGTCAAGGAAAAATCAAGTTCTGCTGCTGCTATTACCAGAAGGCATACAACAGTCAGCTGTGATATTTATTTTTTGCACCCTAGACCCTTAGCTTTGAAAACTTGAACATACAGGAAATAATTCTCCGTGAATTACATTCTTTTTTAAAGCAATTTTCTACTTTGCTACAAGGTGGCAGGGTTAAAAATTAGTTTTATTGAAAGTCTGCGGTGCTAAAACACAGTTACTATTAACATGCCCACACCCCTAGTCACCATAGGAAGATGGATGTCCATCCTAGGTGACTGTGAGCACCTACCTGTCCATCTTAGCCATGTAAACCAGCATATATTCAGCGAGATGCTCCTCAGCAGTGACACCATGGTGGGGTCTTACTGCATGGGCCCTGCACACTGCTGAAGGGGCACCAACCACACAAATGGGCTTTCCTTCAGCACGAGCAATCCCATGCTCTGTGCTGAGGAACTGTCAGCAGCAAACAAACCAGGGTGAGGATGGAGGGGGGCTCTTGGTACAGAAAGATGGGAAAGCTGCACAGGCACCCCAGCACCAACCCTGCCCCAAGCCCTCCCACCCTCGTACCCCACACCGCTGCAACCCCCTGCCCCACAGCCCCCTGCATCCGTTAATCGTTTGGTTTTTTTTTTTTTTTTTTCCATTGCCAAACTGTAGTTTCCCAGAAAATTGCTTCCTGTTACTGTTGCTAAAAGTTAATGCACAGGTAGGGGGCTCCAGGCTGCCTTTGAGCAGCAGAGGACTGCTCTCCCCAGCAGAAACCACTGCTCCAGGAGAAGCCTTCTTCTCCAGGACTATTCCGACCACACTTTTTCCTTTGACCTCTCCAAATTCATGCACCTCACACCAAACACAGGCTGCATTTTTGTTCCCTCCTATACTAGCATAACTCCAGAGTGACACTTTAACAGATGGCCAGACTTAGATCCTCATACAGAAATACCTGGTGCCAGCAAAACCATGTCCTCTGCTTGAAGAGGGAAGAAGCAATTTGCTCAACTTGCTTATGTGCTCAATTAAAAAAGTTGTGGTTCCTCCTTCCCTTTCCACTCAAAGACATTCGTTTCACTGACCTCTCTGCTTGATTTGCTTTCCTGATTTCTGATCATTGCCTTGCTTTTCCTTACAACAGCAATCGATCTTCATTTTGCTTGCAGTCTATTTTGCAGTGGTTCTGTGGGGAATTAATACTACCATTTTTCTAACTGTCCTGTTGGATGCTATAAGAACGCAGGTCACCAGAAGGCCATATTCAGGGGAAAACAGTGCCTGACCTAGGTGTTTGAAGGTCGTTGTTTAACTTTGTGTCATCACCTGCAGCTTAGACAAAATCTTTAATTGTGAGAGTGTACCCTCTCCAAAAGTTGGATTAGCCTAATCTGTGTGGACAGATACTTAGAAGAGCGACGGTTCCTCTTGACATTTGGGTAAGTACTGCTCCCGCAGCCTCAAGCCCTTCTCTGGGGAAAGGCTCAGCCCATATCTAAGAGGCAGGCAATCATCCGTACCAATGCTGGAGCACCTGATGTCCTAAACCCAGTCAGGCCTATTTTTAGGTCCTACACATACACTGTAGAAGTAACTCCTACCTAAAACAACTTGGAGTTTAAAATCCCCAGTTCTGAAAACTGCCCCGCTGGCATCACCAGCCATAACACAGCACAAGCAGCTCTCCCAGCCAGCAGCGCCCAACATTGTGCACGTGCCCAAGGCCATGCCACGTGATGAGCCCAACCCTGGCACAGCCGGTGGCACCACCAATGTGTCGGCACCCAGGACAGAGCTTTTGCTGGGTTCTTTTTGCTATCTCAGGATAGGTCTTTTGCAACCAGCATGCTGTACTTAAAGTCTGCAACGCCAGAGTTTACAGCCCAGGGTCTTGTCTTGTTGAATTAATACCCATGCAGTTTTTCCAACCCAATGGGAGTCCATCGTGGTACTTGCGGTGTGCGAACCTTCTTGCTTACAGCTAGGGAACAGACATAAATTAATAAAGCTTTGCTGTCATGATCTGCTTGCGCGAGCAGGGGCTGGCGGGGTAGTCCAGCATGGAGAAGAGACGGTTTCCCTGAGCACAAGCCCAGCCCCGCAGCAGCTGAGCTGCACTGCTGAGGAGATGGCAAAGGCTGGTGTAGTGCAGGGAGGGGGAAACCAGAAACTGCGGGTTTATAACCCCAGCAAATAAGGACATTTCCCTATAGCTGCTGAGGCCCTCTTCAGCTCTTTGAACAAACCCCCCCCCAAAGCCACAATTAGTGTTCTTTCTTACAGGAAGGGCTTCTCACCTTCACACTCTTTGGCATGTCTGGTGGGTTTGTGCCCTTGCTGAAGCTTGTCTTTGGTACCTTGAGCTGAAGTGCTTTGTTGACACCAAGGTTAAATTTGTCTGAGGGAACAGAGGCTCAAATTAATGCTAACGCAGCCAAAGAGGGGAAACTGGCTAATTTGAGATGCTAAGGTGTGTCTGGCAGATGGTCCCATCAACACTACAAATACCAGGTGTGAAAAACTCCAGGCTCTGGGAAAAAACAGCCTTCTGGTTTGACCTGTTTGAACCAGTCATTTATCAGAGTAGCGAGTGTCACATCTTGAAAGCAAGGCTCCTCTGGTGCAGCTGACGGCAGGATGCCCCAGCTCTGTTGTGCCATTTACCTGTAAGAAAAATGACACCTTCAGGCCGTCCTGCAGCAGGGATGTATGGCTCTCATGCATGAACCACGATTTTTCTATATTTCCTATCCTGCCAGGCTTGCAGCAATATCGCAGCTCTCTAGTACAGTAAAGGGTATTATCTGCCAGCCATTTTACAGCTATAAGACTTCAAATGTACTTTATCTGACAGAGGCTTATAGACCATAATACACACAGGCTTTTCCACTGACTCCCTTTCCTGGCAGCCCTGGGTGCCACTCCCAGGGGTGGCTATATATCTATATATCTAACTCCCTGATTTCAAGAAAATATCATAACAGAGTGGTGCATGCAGGCAGATGGTGCATTTCCAGAGACAGACAGACAGACAGACACACACACACACACCACCCACCGATGCCTCTGCTACGCCCTGGTGATCCCTGAGCCTCTGGGAAGCCTGGCCCTGCAGATGCTGCATGCTGCCCAGGCAAGTCCAGCTGCAAAGCAGGCAGAATGACACTGAACCTGGCCGTAGGGGGACAAGGTCCTTGGATCCTGCAGTGAAGGGTGGCAAAGTGGCATGGGAGGACCAGATAAAGCCACTGGGGATGGGTATGAAAAACAACTGAAACTGCAACTCAGTGCACACCCAGCAAGCACTTGGGGACCCTGCCTGTGCATTCCCCGTGCACACACAGCACCCCCTCCTGTTCGGAGCTGCTGACTGAGCGTACTCTGTCGATGGCATCAGTGTCACCACACAGCTAGTATCGAGGAG